CTTGTGAGCTGTTTTATTTTCTGTGTTTCTGAAGGTGACATATGGGTTATAATGTTCTTATTTCATCAAATGTACATATTTATATTCATGTATGTCTTGTTGTAAAAGTAGTTTTGTATGAAAGACTTTAGCTCCCTCAAGTGGTCTCTGACAAAACTACTCATTATTACACATTTTTGAAACTGATTTATTTTATTTAATGTCATATAGTCTTAGAGTACATAATATAAGTTGTTTCATTTATTAATTTTTAAAGTGGCTTTATATGTTACAGTGTCAGGAGGTTAAGACACTAATGCACCACATGGTGGCAGTATAATAATAAACACATGTAGTTCATGCTGAATAAAAATGGAACAATGCCAAAATAATTTGATGCCTTTTGGAGAGAGAACCAGCAAAGATGTTAAACAAGTGTACACTTAAAAGTTTTGACTGTTTTGTGTATCAATAGAAACCGTTGACAATTTCACTGCCAAATTGTCGTAAAATAATCGTGTGGAAAGGAGGAAAATGCTTTTTTTTTTTCAGAAGCTGCTGATTTAATCAAATGAGGAAGTGTCTTCACAGGCAAAAGTTTTTTTGGCTATATAAAAACATAACCAAAAAAGTGAAAAAATAACAATGGGACACAGTACAACTTGAACGCAATGCAACAAAAGAAATGACAAACAAGTGCAAGGCAATCAAAAAAAACCTTTAATAATAAAAAATGATGTCAAACAGACCCTCACAGCACAGACTGTGCTATGTACAGTTAATACAAGCAAATGACAAAAGCTATTTCTCTTTAAATATTCTCAGTTAGATTACAAGTCTTTTAGTTTAATATTTGGAAATATTTAGCATACTGAACAAACCTGAACATTTTCACACACAAATGTCAGACCTCACCGTTTATGATGTTGCTCTGAGCTGTAACCTTTTCCAAGAACCAGCAGCTTTAATTGTGCAAAGAATTAGTGTTTACCGCACAAGCTAAAATAGCTTCAAGCTTTATGTGGAAAGAGTTTTGTGCACAGCTTAACCTTTTACAAGGAGTATTTCATCCATTATAGAAATTTACAGTATGAGAGAAGCATTTGTCTAAACTTTTGTTCAAAAACTCTGGAGTCTCATTTACAGTGGCGTAGTCAACAAACTATAAAATAAAACATAGGAGTAAGTAACATAGGAGAAAGTGATAAAGTTCGTAAGATGTTCTTGTGGGTAACGGGCCAGGAATTGGCATGTTAAGTCTCAGAAGAGTAATTGTTGTATACAGTAGTTGCTGTAGGGCCAATTGGTGTATTGTTGCTGCTTAATGAATTTTGTTGTTTGATGCATGGTTGAGGTTCTTGCAGTTTGCTGGATGGTTGTTGTGGTACCATTGTATTGTGTTAAGTATTCAGAATATTAGTTTCACAAGCAAAGAGCTGATTTTTAAGTAGTGTGACTGTAAAGAACTAGTCTGTGCGTCTGTTATCTGAGGAGTTAATGATTTCAGGACTTATATCATTCATGGCCTTTGTCCCGCTCAGTATGTTTAAAAGACCAGTGGGCCAACAGGGCCTGATACCCCAATTCTTTCTCAGTAGTAAAAGAGGACAAAAGCAGGCCTCACAAGAGAAAAATGTCAACATGGAGGTAGAAAGAAGCCAGCAGGTAACAGGGAGTGAGGACAGAGTGCATGAATTACGACAGGTAGAGACGACGCAATGGTATGATAATCTATAACACAGATAAATATTAATCTGACTAACTCTCGAATTCTTCTCAAGAAGTGTGAAGTTCGACAAAAGAATAACTAAAGCAGAAATGTTCTGTTGTATGTCTGTGTGTGGCCACTGTCTGTCCTGTTTGTATGTGTGTCATATATGTATTAACGAGTCATGACTCATAGAAT